AATCCATAAAGCATTTTTGCATAAGCAGATTTTTTGCACTTTTTAGCAAAGCTACTGTAATAGATGTGAAGAGCCTTAAAGGCTTGGAACTCTTCGAAGGCATGTTTGGCGACATCTTTGAAAGGTATGCCAAGGCAAGCTTCCAACTCCTGTTGAATGTCCTCCAGTATAATCTAGGGATTATCTGTATTTTCATAAAAACGTTAAGAGTTCACCCGTGATGGCATATGGTGGCAATCCTGATCAAGAATGATTAAGCTTGCCTAACCACCAGGAAACGGGGAGAAACGGGCAGTTCAGTAGGCTTACGAGAAGAAGATAAATTGTACAACAATAGTGATCGAGGAGGCGTATGCGTTCGGGTATGCTAAAGACTCTCCATCCGCTTCTTTTCTGAGGAATTCTAAGCCATCAATCTGAAATTGAAACAGTTCTATGAGGAGTTGCGACGCTTTGATGTCTCGCTGGTCTACACCGTTGGATCTGTGCTCTCTTATCAATCTGTTAATCTATATGCGGACCGCGATACGTGTGAACTAACCCTTTTGATCTAAAAGAATAGTAAAAATAGATGCTTGCATCAGTTTTCCATCACGCCAGGTGTAATGGCGTAACCAGAATAGCATCCGCGCTACTAAAAGCATAATAGTGGTCTTAATACTATTGCGGGATGAAAGTTGGCTTTTGAAAACACAGCAGTTTCTTGCAACGGCCCAAAAAAATATATTTTAAGCATGAAGTACGATGACATGAGCTGATACAAAAAATCTTAATTCGTTTAGCTGGGTATTGAGTGAATATCAGTCGACTACTAACCGCAGGTTATTTTGCACCTGAAACAGCGTATGAACGCTACCGTAAACCACACTTAAATAAAACTAAAATCTAATTTTAGATTACGATATGTATGGCTTAGTTTGACGTTAGTTTAAGGTAGCCACCGCAAATTCTAATTTCAGCACTGCTAAAGTTCGAACACTGTCATACGTCATTTTCAGCTGCGACTGATTCAGCCGAGGACCTTCCCGTGGCCAGCTGATTGTGGACCCGGCTTCATATCTTTGTCGCCATAACGGGAGTTCGATTAGGAAAAATGTATAACATTTAATTCGAAGATAAAGACATTCATAGCCCCCCATATTATGACTACGAAAGCGACAGGGTGCAGGTGACAAATGTGTCATTCAAACTAATAGTTTTTAGCTAAATGAAATTAGATGTTAGGCCATTGAAAAAAAACCCAGGCCGGTTACTGGGTAAACTAACCTCGACACTCATGAAGTCCACCTTAACTACTTATAGTTTTATCTTTGCGGGGCTCTTTACTGGCCACCTAGACAAGTAATGCGCATTTTAGTCTTTGTGTAATTCCCGTTTAGCTTTGGTAGATTCAGTGAGAGTCTAACCGTGTTAGACGTGTCATTACAAAACAGCCCCCTTAGAGTTAAGTCTAATACAGATTTTTTATACCGTCCATACGTAAAATTGACTGTTGGGAGGTTGGCTTGTAACATCACTTTTACAAAGTACGCTCGAGGCGTGTTACGAATCTTGGCTACGTCAGTTGACTACAAACCCAAATATATTTTTTGCATACGAAAGCAGATTGCAGAACTGTATATTCCGTTGTTAGTGGCTCCGTCCAAACACTGGCAAACAACCTAACCTAGATCGATTAGTAGCATTATAATGCTAGATATTAATCTTTTTGATTAATCAATTTGAAAAGGAAAGTATTTTAAAACACGTCTGCACGGAGAAAAAAGGAACGAGCAAAGCGTATCTATTACAGGCATCTCGTGTTGCGTATGAGTTTAGTAAACGGAAGCGCCTCGATAGGATCACGTGCGCGGACGAATTTGCCGATGGATAAAATGCTTTTCAAGCCCATTTGAACTAGATTGTTATAATATATATCTCAAAATCCCGATGATATAGTTCGCTTATTTCATACTTGAGTATTTCCCATCGTCGCAGTGGGTTTTAATTGCCCAGCTGTTACGCAAGTACGCCCTTTCGTAAGGGTATCGATTTTTTTTAGTTTGAAGGTTTTTGTCAAAACTAAGCAGACCTTCAAATGTCTTACCTAAGAGCCTATAAATATTATTATCGTTATACGGGGAACAATATTTCGAAACAAAATAGCATTTGAAGACGGGTGTGCTACAAGCTTTAGTACATAAAAACGTCTTCTTGAAATCCAAACCTTGTCTTATTATGCACAGCGAACGATATTTGCCTGGCCTGATCACGCGATGATCCAGCCCACCTTACGGGCCCTTGTAGATACTACTGAATAACGAGACCGAAATACGTGACTTGTCTCAACATATGCAATAAACATTAGAGTCGTGCATGATACCATAAATATAAAGATGTAAAGTTGCCTAAGGATAAATAATACACGTTTTTTGACAATGCGATTCATTTTAATTAAGTGGAGTGATTGAACTATAGTGTCTCCTTCTTCACAAAGAGCTTTCTACTTGTAACACGATGAGTCGAAACCTATTAGAAAGTAGCATAAATTTAGAAAATGGCAAACCGTCAGTTAGGAGGTGAGACCGGAAATGGAAGTGTGGAACAAACCGAAAACTTCGCTGTTCTTCCAATAAACGTATTTTACGATCAAACGATCACTCTTGAATTTGGTGTTCCTTCTCCGTACATATCTATTGCATGAGTGCTTTCCATCCGGGTAATTCTTTTAAAAAGAACGTAAAACGTCTTTTATATCTACGTTTATTATTAATGTACATGATTACGTGCTACTAAGAGAAATCTATTACTGCCTATCCGTACAGTATGCTTGCTCACTTGTTTGGTAAAAATAGCGGAATACGAGCAAAAAGGTCTATGACCTGCATACAGAATGGCTACACGAGCAGCATATGATTACCAAACTATGCAGTGCTTTAGCCTACGGCAATCTAAAACGAATCCTGTTTAATACGAAAGGGCGGTACCATCAATTTTCGCAATATAGAAGTCTGTATTCAATAATGGATTGCTTCGTTCATATGCTGACAAATGATTTGGGCGACCGTGAGCCCGAATACCATGGGAAATTCAACTAGAAATATAATAAACAAGTAATGGCCACGTTTTCGACAACTCTTGTTATGGGAGCAGAAATCATAACAAAACAGTGTCATCGCTCGCAATCTGCACTCTAACTATAGGCATGTGAAGGCCTCGGAGACTACTATATAACTGCAATGACCGTTCAGTTGATACAATGTATGCTATGACAAAACGTATAGAAGTACACAGATACGTACGCGATGTGATACTAGCTTAAAAAACAATGCATCATAGCTAAGCATCTATCTAGAAACATGGAGTGAACATGATAGCACGGACCAAACGCCTTTATACGGTGCGTTGTTACAATTTCAAATAACAGCACAAAGCTGTGCGAGATCTACGCCGGTACGTAAAGGTTTGTTATCCTTACTCGTTGTTACGATTCTGACAAATAAGGAAGTACGATGTTGAATGGCATTGCATGTCATTTATTTACCTTAGGATATTCTCAAGAATTTGCGGATGGATCAGTAAGTTTTTATGCAGACCATTTTGAAACAAATGCGTCGTCTTCCCTTCGGACGATTGTTGACAGCTAATTTCTGCAACGACGGTTTTTTGGAGACGTGCGTTGCGTTATCTGTTTAAATACTGCACGCCATTTCGCCTAGGCACGTATATTAATTAACTTTAATGAATAAAACTTGAACTAATATGTACGACTGTATATTTCTTCAAATGGAGATTATCCTGATTTAGTGCAACGCACCAAGAGGACTAGCCCACCAGAAGTTACCATATTTGCAATGTCCAGCCTTAGCCTAATGAGCGTCAGATTGTGACACTTCTAACATTACCATAATGTCGTGGTCAGAAGAACTAATAGTTTCACAACGTGAACCGCATTACGTTTCTATCGGACAAAGGACAACTGCTTCAGGAAAACAAAACCTCAGTTGAACTGCAAGCTTCAATCGATTCGTCATAACTCTCAGGGCCACTTAAGTGTGTGTGTTTACATAGACTTCTTCTAGACTACTTCAACTAGACAGCTTCGTCAGAACACTCTTTTTTTCTGTCAATCTATTTGCTACGTTTCTGTGCGTGAAATATCTATAGTATTTCTTAAGCAACGCACGACGTTTTTTGGGACAAATGAGCTTTACACTGCACTAGTCATTGTACGTTGCCTTCACAAACTACCGCTTACATGATAACACATATTAAAAATAACCTAAGAATTCACAAATAAGACTATCATAGAATAAAAACGCGTTACTAAAATCAGGCAGTATCAGCTGTAGCCCTTGACGCTTGTTTTATGCATATTTTTAATTGGTAATAAGGCATTTTTATAGTTGGTACCATTTTATGAAAATGTCGTTTATGCCGTCACCGTAAGGATAACGTTTCATTTGAGGGTTCTGTAAAACAAATTGTAATCATTATAAAATCCCAGAATAGGTCTCAATATTATATTCGATTGCGTTTCTTCGTGGCGAGCAAAATCGTATGAGGGCACTAATTGATAATTCTGCTTCAAACTGCTTGACTTTTCATGAAAGGCGAAATTTGTCAAAGAATTTCAATGATGCTTGCAACCTTAAGTGGTATTTGCCGCGGTTAGTGTCGCCGTATAACCTAGTCATTTGGGGATAGGGTCGGTCAACTTAGACAAGTTGCGATTAATTCTATTCGTTCGAGCAATGGTTTTTTAGTTTGTTTTTTGAAAATTGCTTTCTTTTTTTGTTATCAGGTTCATGTATTATCTGAAAGCACTTTCGTTGCTCAGTCTATTACCATCGCCTTGCTTTAGTAACAAAACGGTTTTCCTTCTAAGGTAAATGCTTGAAAAGGTATGAAATCCCAATCTCAATAAAATTAAAAAATTGAAATTTTTTAATTTAAGAAATTTAAAATTAAAAGTATTATGTGATATACCTACAGTTGTTTTGAATATTTTTATTCCTTACCTTCATTCATAACTGTCTGCTATTTGCCTGCTAATCTTAGGGGTACGTTGTGGTCCAAGTTCGGAGCCCGAGCGTAGACAGGCGTTGTTTAGTGCTGAGAAGCAACTATCTGATCGGCCGGATATAGAACTTGAAACAAAAAAATCAGTCGTTACTTAAAAAAAATACTTATCTTCTATTTGCTAAAATATATTTGGAGTTGTTTTATAGAAAAATTAAATATATTCTTTGCCTGACGTCTAAAAGACTGCAGTGTCATTATCGAAGGGAACACGTGTATTAGGTAAACACAGCGCCCAATAGCAATACACAATGTTTGTTTTGGATGTTAGCGATGCACCCAGGTCGAAATAAAATTACACCTGGATTCTGAAGTAATCATTACGTACGAATTGGTGTCGTGTGCCTATGGCTTTTTAGTGTACAGAAATGTACTAAGATAGATTTGCAGTCTCTGTCCCTTAACTAAAGGTTTGTGATAGCAGGTATTTTTGATACGATTGCGAATAAAGTGAGATTTGTACAGGCCTTGTTACGCCCTTGTTTTTAAACATTTCTCCCATAAAAAGTGCTGGGGAAGTCAGAGTGCTCGACAATGTTATATAGCAAACGAAATATACAGTCTTAGCGAGCAGTGTGTATCATACGTGCATTCATATCCCTAAAAAATATGCCATTGGTTGCATTCAAATTGGGCATCTCGGTTAATTATCTCATGTTCCATGCAATTTCCTATTCAAAACTATTCCGAAAACCTTCTATGGATCACGTTCTGACTAACGAATTAGAAGCTGCAGCGTTTTCATTAATGGCTTGGAATCAGTTTAAACTATTGCCAGAGTAGTAGTATAACACGAGTGATCTTGCTGGACTCAGAGACTATCCAGTAGAGCGATGCTCGCCTATCTTATACCCAGCTTCAGCTTGAGCTAGTAAAAGTTCGGTCCTATTTCCTATTCGAATCCTATCGAATTGTAGTATAAAACATATTCAGTCACATACAAATTACCACCACATGTCATCAAAAGGTACGAGGCACAAGAGTCGTGGTTTCAAACGTGCGGCCTGCAGTGAAGAACCGCTAAGATATTCGCACACTAGCTAACTTGAATCCGAACAGTGTGCGATGCTTACAATCCTTTAGATCATTGCTTCGCATTTATGGTAATATCGCCATAGACGGTAATACCGTCTATAGCGATATTACCGTAAATGTACATCTGTGGCATTAATATGCAGTTTGAAAACCTAAGTATAACATTGCGGTTGATCTCGTAGCGCTTGTAGTAACGTAATAATTTTTTTCAGTATCAAATATATATATTCCGCTAGTTATCAGCTTTGCTGCGTGGGGTGTGTTTCCTGGCCTAGGGAGTCCTATTGGGCTATGCTAGCCGTCTTCATTCCGTGCAAATTCCGAATTTATAAGGGGTTATGAACGAACGACTTTTCTGTCGAGAATGATCGACCCCGCTAGAGCGACTACACATTCCCTTTTTGGTTTGCTGAAATTTATGTCATATCAAATAAACACGCCCGGACACGCATTTATATCATTCCAGGTGCCCTTTACACATCGGGATAGCGGAACTCACGTCGATGCCTGCAACAGAACCTACAACAAACGCGAGCCGGCTGTGCAGATGCTTCACTGGAGTCAAAAATATCAACAGCTACAGACTATACACAGTCTACATTCATCGCAGTCTTTATCAGCGTTCGAAAACAAGCGCATTCCCTATCACAACAGTCACAACTAGGCAGCGTGAATTTTAACGAAACGTTTACCTGCAGGTAGAAAGATGTCACCTGCAGGACTAGCGATATAACCATCAACCCAGCAGGCAAACGACGCCGTAAGGTGTACTCAATGCCCACATCAGACTGGTCCACGGAACACCTCATGGCATGTTTGAACATATGAGCCTCGTGAAATTCCTATTTCATTCAGTCATGGAGTTCGAAAAGCAGGTGCCAAATTGTCAAGTGAAACAGAAGTGTGTAGCAGTGATGGTGCCCGAAAATAGAGTACGAAACGTTTTCAAAGGACAGCCCAAGTTATTCTCCGCTACGAAGAACAGCGCTAGCGGTGGATCCCGCGCTGATAGAGACGCTTCTTAAGAAAACATTAATGATTATTCATGCGGCACCAGTGAGTGAAGTATGTTGACAATACCCGTGGACCAGCTGGGGTATTTGCACGGATATGCCCACAACGTTGAGAGTTTTTCCGAGACGCAAATCAGCTTGCAAACGAAATTCAAACTTCATGTGCTCTCCCTCTATTCCTTCTTCAACCAGGACTACAAAACGGCAAATGATTATTGCAATGCACTATTTTCGGTTCCTTCGTTCTATAGAACATCGCGTCCCGTCGTCGGAAACGGACAGTTCAGTTACAAAAGTAAAATAGCCGGATTGCTATTGCTAGAAGGATAAGGCTTTCTTTAGATGTAAAAATCTTATAGTCGAGAAACGCAGGGATCAGAAGATGTTCATGTAGCGTTCATCAATGGGGTTTGGATAACAAACTTAATCGGACTGTCAAAGCCGAACGTTCTATTAGCCAAGTCATTTTTAAAAGGATCAATCCCCACCGCACCAAGCTACCGTTAAGAAACGCTTGCTAGGAAAGGTAGGACCAAGTCGAACAATTAGACCGTGCCCAGCAGTTGACAGTTTGGTGAAGCAGGTTCGAGCTGCATTGTCGATTGAGCGGCCGGCTCCAGTACGCGACACCTTGAATCGCCGCAGACGCTTGCAAAGACTATTACGGAGCTTGTAGCGCGGTTGAACTTTTAGGAGACGCTAAAAATTGTACAAACTATGAGGAGGCTGCAACCCTCTCGTTCTTCTCCTTAGAAGCCCTAGAGAATATAGAACTACTCGTACTAACCGAGATTTAGAAAACTAGCCTTTTTAATTTACCACGTTTCTATTTTATACACTATTCTACTCTGGAAAAAAATGAATCAGGCCATCCTAGAAAAGACGCCCCCGTATTCTACAATTATAAAATAGGAAATCTTACTCCAGTGAGGAACAATGTCATTTCCTTTTGTGGACCAGTGACTAAGTCTCATAGCAGCCTTTGCTCAGTCGACTGATTCAAGATCAACGTGCGTACAATTAAAGAAGCTAGTTAGTGGACCGGAAACGCTGTTTTGTTATTTTGCCTTCCCTGTGGTTATTGCAGGGGACTTCAGCGCCCACCTCAATCAATCGAACTCGAGACACGCTACGGCCCATTTGTACCGTTATTTAGACCCCTGGCAGATTTGTCGAATCCATTCTATGAACTCAGCAAGATTTTTATAACCCATATAACGCGAAATAGTTCAAATGCATCTATATACCTTTTCTGATATTGAAATTTAACTGTTTACGCATCCCCACTAAGGCGCTTGTCACTACCGCCAAGGATATAATCAGTCAAGTTATTGCTATTCATTTTGGTAGAATGGATTCCCAAGGCACATGTCTACACCATCGAATGCTACGAATCCGTATCCAAAAACCTCAAGTCGACAAAACTTTTGTGTTAAGTGTTGAAAGGACAATTTAATAGCTTGACCATGACAAAAGCAATCCAACCAAAAATCTTTCCAAATCTCAAAGAAGCATGGCTTCGAAGCGACGGTTAAGGTTCGAAATTATTTAAATAGGAATAGCTTTTCAGGAAATTCTAGTACGGGTTCTTCAAGAGAACACCTGTTGTGCGAACATTGAATAAAAACTCGAGCCTATCTAACTTGAATAGGAACCAAATGTCGTTTACTCAATAATGGTTCGACGTCGTTGTGTATGATTAATCTAGTTATATAGTCTTTAGACACTTCGCAAGTGGGGATTAGGTCTTTTGCCTACTAATCTTAAGGACACGTTGTGATCCGGGTTTGAACCCGGCCATAGACACACCTTCCGGCCGTAGACAATCAGACTAGAGAATCTGAATGGATGGAATGTCTAACAGCGACACCGGGCGTCAGTCTTAAACCAGAGGGACACTATTGAACCAATGTATATCTTTTAAATTGAACAGATAGTCCGACATGAGACGTAAGGCTACCTAGAAAAATCTCAATTTGCGGGCTTTTGAGTATGCTCATCAGAAAATAAGGTTTTCTGTAATAATATTGACACCATACAAAAGTCAGAACTTACATAGGTTGCGCATGCTACACAACATAAAGGTTCTAAATGTTTCAAGATCCACGTAATGTTGTTTAGCGTTCCTTCAGATGGATGACTTCTAGCACGAAGCAAGATATGCCTACGCCCTGGTTTCGAACCTTTTAGTTTTAGAAGGTCAAGGAGTTTAGGAGGAACTAGAAGGCAACCACGCTATTATTACCGCAGCACCAACCGGACAACATGGACGTCTTAGATAAAGCAACCGCTGCCATTATTATAAGCACCAATATGGTGGAATCCACGCTTCCCTGTTCTCTAGAGGATAAAACGATGATCGCGTATGTAATCTCTTAACAAATAGAAAGTGGCCCACTGGTAGATATGTATTACTTAGTTTTTGTTGACACCTTTATTTATATAAATATCCCTATAGCACTGAGCACTAAAGACAACTTAATCTTATACATCGCTCTAAAATAGAGAATTTCAAGATGCGCCACGTTAAGTCGATCTTCTGCTCGAGAAAGCACACTCTTTATCGCATAAAATTATAACTTATTTTGTGGAAATGTTCAAATTTCCAACCGCATTACCATTATTACCTTTACTTGCTTCTAAGTGTTTTCACATAGCTTAAAGCGTGTTGCAGATCTTACCAGCGAAAGACAGTACATCGTATTATTAGTAAATATTAGTAACTAAGAAATCACCAAGATGTGATTTGTTTTCCCATTGTTAAGTAGTTTACTGTTCTTTGTGTTCCACTCTTCAACTATTGTTCCCTCCACTCAATACAAGGTTGCTAATACCGAGCTGGATGCTAACTTACAAAGCCAGTACTAAATCTTTATCGGGTCAATGCTAGGCTAGACAATGGTATAGTTTTATTTGTACTTAATGGACATAGCCTGTTGAAAGCATTTGCATTAATAAAACTAAGCTTCTAATTAAGATAACCCTAAGTCGGGCAGTACCTATGCTTTAGCTGGGACTAA